ACACAGGAAAAATACAAGACAACCCATCACAGAGCTCAATTTTGAACAACAACATTCTGCAGGAAGATTTTACTAACATGAATACTCAAAATATTTAGCAGATGTGATAATGACTCATGTTGAGTATTCATACTCAAAATATTTAGCAGATGTGATAATGACATGGAAAAGACACAGTACTCTGGAAAGAGATGTAGTTACAGTTCAGATGGATTCTGAATGGGAAGTGCTGCAGGTTTTTTTAATGCATGTACTGATGGTGGATGAATGGTAAAAAGGAAACAACCGCACTAGGATATGAAGAGTCAAGGGTAAGGCTTACCGGTTAAGGGGTGATGCTTAATCCGTGGGGGCTGGAGCAGTCTTCCTCCTCTCCCCCTCCTCCCCCACATTCAATCAGTTTACTAAAATAAACATTATTAAACATCCAACTAACTAAACAGGACTTTTCTAGGGATGTTTAATAATGTTTATTTTAGTAATCGTGTAGCAGCAGGCTTGATCTAACGTGGCTGGAAGGGTCCCTAAAAAGTATCCTTCTGTCTCAGACCTTGCACCTTGCTCACTGATATTAACGGAGGAGTTTAGGTGTATGAACTTGCACTGGGCACAGCAATTAAGACATTATTTTACCAAGCACTATATTTTGCTCTGGTTGATAAGATTAAACATTAGGCATGGGCCCTAGCCAAAATTATGGGTGTGGACATGCCCAAACTTTGGGCAAGTTAACTGCAAGGTTTGGATTCAATGTCTATGGGAAACAAATGGTCGTGTGGGTTGGTTTTTTTAAAATTTTGTCTTTAAGTACAATGCCTGGTTACTCTGAATGATGGTAGCCTTCCAATGGTCCTTAACTCTGCCCTGCAGTACCCAGATAGTTTAACATACACCAACGAGCACTGATCATTTGGTATGTTGAGTGCCTTCCAGGTCCAATGGTAATGGTAAGCATTCTGCAAAATGTACAGAAACCCAAAGGTTTAGGCCCAGAGACCTCTATTCAAAGTGTTGGTATTCTCAGGTCACCAGAGGAGGCTTTCCAACGGGAGTATGGGTACCTAGTCTATTACACAGACACAATGAAAAGCTCCATGCCAAATCCCAGTCATTAGGAGACTGCAATGAGACTCATTAAGGCTGCCACATACTATTTCACTTCCCCCGATTGTTGCAGAGTACGGATAACCTCACCAGAGGCGTGCCCATAATACATAATGTGGCAGTCTGGATTCAGGCTCTAGAAGGTACCTTTGATAGAACTGTTGGCAAAAGACAATTAAAAACGGAAGCTCGCCAAATATAAAAGCGAATAGCTCAGTATATAAAAAGCTTTAGTTCAGAGTTTTGGCATACAAGAGACTCATTTAGCTAAGAGGTGTTTTAGGCTTTCTACTAAGGGAACAAATGGCTCATTTTACAAAAATGCTCTTGGAGGGGGAAAAAGCCACGCAATACTTGACAATATAGAAATATGAACACATAATCCTACTGGGACAGTTTTAATGATCAGGATTTCTTCTTTAAATTACAACAACCTATGCATTTCATACCCAACTTTCTTAAAGCATCAATAAAACTGAGCCAGATGTGTACTGTATGGGATTGTACATACTGTTTTAACAGGTTTTCATCAAAGGTTGTAGGAAAGCACTGGTAAGGAAGTTGAAAGCACTGGACAAGACAGACAGTATGATGGTGAGGGTCTGAACCACACAGTTAACAACTAGATAGTTGTTTGTACATGTGGGTCATTCAGAGCTAACATCACTTGAAGTAATATTGCGACGGCTTTACTAGGTTTTCACCTGCCTGGAGGAGAGGGAGAGAAGTAACTCTATATGATGCAATTAGGGTCAGAGAAAATCACATTAAATTTACATTTTCCACAGATTTAGCCAAGAGCATATCTATTTTTTAAAGGCGCAGTTCATAAAGTCCAATACTACATTTTCTTTGGAGTTGTCTGATTCCATTGTCCTGAAGATTAAAAACAAACATTACTGCCCTGTCCAGCAGTAGTTGGTGTAAAAAACTCAAGTTTAAAAAAAACCCAGCAGCAACAACTCACTAGAATTTGTTTGGAGTTTGAAGGTACAGCCGGTCTCCGAGTTGCGAACGGTTGACTTACAACTGTTCACAGTTACGGCCAAAGCTGTTGTAAATGGCGGACCCCGAGTTACGAACGCAACCCGTGCTTACGAACAGTGCGGTCGCGTGTAACTCAATGGAGTCCGACTTACAAACGAACAGAGTTATGACCAATTGCTTGGTCCATAACCGGGTCAGGAAGAGGCTGTAGTCTCATTTTTCTCTTTTGGCTGCTTTGTGTGTGTGTCACTTCTAAGCTTTGTTTTTTCAGCTTCAGCATAAAAAAAGCCCACACAAATCCCTGGAAAAGGCCATTCCTGTGGTATTTCCAACCTGGCCCATGTCGGGAATTTCTAAAAAGTCTGAGAGGAATTTTCTTCTTGGGAAAGCTACAACCCAATTTCTCAGCCAGAGGTCGAGTCGGACATCCAGGCCTATGCTCTCCCCCCACCCACTCACACCAATAGTCTGTTCTACAGGAGAGTAAACAGGTTGGACCTCCCTGGTCTGGCACCCTTGGGACCTGACTGGTCCCGGATGAGGGTTTTTCCAGACCAGGGGAGGTCATCTTTCTCTCTGCAGCCCAGCTAAGCCACATGCCAGCTCCTAGCCCAGCTGAGCCACATACTGACTCCCTGCTCTCCTTGCCCCCAGCAGAGCCATGGGCCGGATCCTAGGTCCCCCCTCAAAGCCTAACTGAGCTGTGAGCTGGTTCCCAGGCCCCCACCTCCTCTGCAGCACACTAGAACGCTGTGGTCACGCTGGACCATGGATTTTGCCAGACCAGAGAATCCCAGATTTTAGAATTGCAACCTGTATAAGCAAACTATTCTAGTGTTACTCAGTCTGTTTAGGTCTCTGACCCCTTTCTTCAAAAGTCTTCATTTTTGCCTCTTCCTTGTACAGTACATGGAAGGGGAATGTGTAGTAACACTTAGCCTCTAAAAATGTATGTCTGGGGTTTTAGACACTGACTTGGAACACTTGACCATGTAAGTTTGCAGGGAGCATGGCGCAGTGTGTGTGGGGGAGTGTTTTCTTGCTTTCGATTGTAATAATAAAAAACCACCCCACTAACATTCAGTTGCAATCCCCTCCCTGTCCAACTGATGTTCATGACTCTCACTGAGCAATGGCCCTCCAGAGTATTCTATTGGATTTTATAGATGATTGAAAGAGGGATTTTAACACTAATCCCTGCAATTTTACTTCAATGAGTAAGTGGAGTACAATATGGCTCTAAAAATGTACCATTGTATGCAGTTGCTTTTCTGACCATATCATCTCACTTAACACTAACATTCAACCTTAGCAACAACCATAATGTTTAATACCATATGAACTGTTCTTCCTCAGCTCAGCAGGGAAGGCTGAAGAGGAAAAACAAGGGAATTTGTTGCTGGAAATCAGACACCCTTGAATTACTGAACAGTCCAGAGTCCCTTGGTGGCTATTTTTTGAATCAAAACTAGAAGTAAAAGATAAAGGAGAGTTACCACAATAAGGCAAACTGACTTGGGAGTTCCTCATGGACTGGGAGCTAGTTAGTGTATTGTGATCTTAACATAATTAGCATAATAGCTGCTATTTTATGGCATCTTTACCCTCCTTCATCCATAATCACTTCTTACTTAGACTGTGTTTTTTTACTGACCAGCACACAGAATTGTATACCCCCAAAGATCACAACAGCTTCACTAGCGCACGGCTGTATTTCCCAAACACACGCCAGTCACCTGGCAGTCTAACACGTTCCTCGAGTGCATCGCTTGCACAGACTCAGATTAGTAAAACTGTGGAACTGCTGCCCAGTGAAAACATCAGCATTCAGAATGTGCAGAACTCACTCCAAACCAATCGGGAGTCAGCTTGGAAAGAGGGGAGTGTTGGACACAGGTCAGGACATTTCTCTGGTAAAGACTGATCCTCCAAAAAGCTGAGCATTCCCAACTCCCACTAAAGTCAACAGGAATAGCTGGTGTTTTCCAGCCTCAAGATTAGGACTTTGGTCTGCGAATGTACCAAGTAGCCTGCAATGGCTCCTCTGGGTAACATACATAAGAAAACAGGCCTTTGAACCCTAAATTTGGGGCAACTGTTTTGTTTGGATGCATGAGGAGGAGCCATGCGAAAGGGGGCATGTGCAGAAATAAAAATGGCCATGAGATTAGCCAATATTAATGCTTTGTGCTACAAATGTACACACAGCGCTTCCAAAGCATCTCATTAGACAGGCTGAAAAATAGACTGTCGAGGGCAAAGCTGATGTACCATCTTCATCCAAGTCACTTGCCAAAACTCAGTTTTTGCTTCCCTGGTTATTCCAGGAGGTGGCATATTCCAGGAGGTGGCATAGAGAGGGAATTTTAGCCAACACAGTTAGCAGGCCAGGAGGCTCTCATGCTTTGCCTGAAAAAGGCCACGCCAATACTTTTGCAAGTAGCAATTTTTACATTTTATGGACTCTACATAGTCTCCCCTCTCTATGTTTTGGGCAACAGCTGAGCTGTTAAGCGAAGTCTTCATCCCAGAGTAAGTTTTTACAGCCGTGCTATAAATCCCCCACAACTAGTGATTAGTAATGGAAATGCTGACAGACTCTTATAAAAAAAGTGGTGATAGCAGGACAACGTATTATTCTAATAACTATGTGCATGTGAATCCTTCTCTCCTCTCCGTTTAGTTTTCCATTAATGTATATTGGCTAATTAAACAAGCTTACGAGACATTCTTACAGTAGAAGGCAACATTTTGGCCCTTAGCCCAAACCAACAGGGGGAAAACTTCAACATGCTCAGCCAGCCACAGAACCAGATGGAGCAAATGTATAGTTACATGAAACGATGAGAGAATGAAAGAAAGGAACAACCCACCAGACCATCAGAGAAAAATAAGTATAAATGTCTCACCGCTTTCGTTTTTCTCTATTACATCCACGACTTCCCCAGCCTGAAGGCTGATCTCAGAGTTTTCCTGTTTCTCATAGCTGGACACCACCACATACTGCTCCAGGATCATGGGTTCGGAGCTAGCATCAGCACCTGGGGAAGGGAAAAAGCAAGCTGTGAGCCAGCTTCCAGCCATGGCTCCTCGAGAGCGACCTCCGTCCATCCAATTCATGATAGGCCAATTTGTCCCCGCCGTCAAGCCAATCAGAACAAAACCTTGGCTCGCAGCATATCCCCAAATGGCTGGCCATATAGAGACAGCTTCCTCTGGCCCACAACCCAGCAGCACAGAGGAACATTAGAGAGCAAGACAAAAAGAGTTTAAAGCATAGTGAATTAATCACAAAGTTTCACGATGGATTCGGAAAAGAAGCTTCTTCCCAACATGGTTGCCACAATCCTTGTCCCCATTCAGACAGAAAAATCCCAGGTAGAAGCAGCATAAATCCACGGCAGAGTTATCCTCCCCCCAGGAAACCAAAGGAAAAAAATAAACAGTTCTCCCCCTCGGAGGCTCAGCTCCTTTTCCACTCTTGAAGGCTCGAGCTGTAAGTCAAGAGAGGGCTGTGGATGCCAATCATATTCGTCTGCACTGCAGCCCTTAAATAGAAACACATGAGCAGGACGGACTAAGGGAGGGGGTGGAGGAAGGGAGAGAGGGGAAGGCGGAGAGACTGTTTACTTGAAACATAAGAAAAGTTACAGCGCCAGATTCTTATTAACACAGCCACCCTCCGCCCGCCTTTTCCAAGAGTCTTGCAGTTATCCCCCCAAAAAAACCCACCTCCAAGTATAAGGGATGAAGAATGTCACATTATTGCCTTGTATGAGATGAACAGCTGAAATCTTTACACCGGTCAGATTTTCTCCCCCCTCCCCGTAAAGAGGTTTGCCAGCTAGCATGAAATGTTTTAATTATTTTCATCTTCCCTATGCTTGGCTTTTCAGGCATCAGGAATTATTTCTTCCCTACTCTTGGACTTTCCCCTCTCTATCCGCCCCCTCACCCCAAAAAACACACCCACACCCCTCTGGTTGGTTTCTTTTTGGTTTTCTGTATAATGCAAATCATGTGTGTTAAAGCGGAGCTAGAAGGCAGGCATGATCCACCCCCAGAGACTGGTGGGGGGGGGGGGGGGGGGAGCTGCGGAAAACGCAACATCAAAGCAGCACGCAGGGCCAACCACCTCCAAATGGACAGATGCAGGCAGGCTCTGCATACACAACACTACAGAGAGAAAGGGTATGAAGGAGTTTTTGAAGCCAGCAGGTCCCATTTTAATTAAAATAAAAGGGAAGGAGAAGGATGTTCTCCTTCCGATGAGGGGCACCTTCTGAAGAGAAGTTGAGAATTGCCTTGTTTAGCGACAGATGTACGAAACATTTTACGACGCTTATTTGTATTACTATAATGGCCACAGGCCGCAATGGATCAGCGCCCTAGTGTGTTAAGCACTGTGTACTGGACATTTTTACTGTTATCTACAGAAACAAGACCAGCAAAAGATTGCGGGGGGAGGGGGGGGGGGAAATGGGGCAAAGGGACTTGACCAAGATCATATAATGGCTCAAGTGACAGAATCAAGATAGACTTCAGGACCTGTTTCCCAGTTCAGTGCCCTATCCACTAGACCATGCTACTTCTGCTCTGTTGGGGGGGCGGGGGGAGGGAATTAATGGAACATTTAATTAATCACTATCATGAGGAGGATCACAATCAGCATTGTACTTCTAGAGCTTGCACATCAGTCTGTGTTTAGTATGCAAATTGATTCTATAAAGTTAGGTCCAGGAAGTTTCCCCTTCTTTCCTTCTGGCAGTAACTAATGCTTCACCCATTCACTTGGTCAGACTAGCTTGTGAAACAAAGGCCGTTAGCCCAGTCTGCCCCTGAAAGAACACTATTGGATGGCTTCCCCTTGGCCCAGTCTTAAGAAGTTCAGAAAAAAAGAGTCCCTTAAGTGCACCCAGCTCGACAACATATAGTACTGAGTGATTTCAGTATTTTTTTTAAAAAAAAGGTTGTTTTCTTGCCATTGAATTTTCTACTCGCAAAAGCATTGAGTAGAGTATCACCAAGGACAGGGTGACTTACTCTGTCCTTTATCGAGAGATAAAAAGCAGTGTCTCGTATTGCAAGTATTACCACATCATTGCACTGCCTAAATAGGATACATTCTCCCCCCTCCAGCCCCCCAAAGTTGTAACCAAGACAAAGTAATTCTATATTAGACTTTGTCTTGACAGAGAAAGGAACTGATCACAGAACTAAAAATTAATGGTAACTTAGGCATAAGTGATCACAACTGCTAAATTTGTAAGTGCAATCAGAACAGAGTTCAGACAAGCGAGTGTGTGCGCGCACATTACACAAAGATTTACCCAGCATCGCTTGGTCCTTAATTCATTTAAAAAAAAGCATACATTCTTTATTGAAAGGATTATGTTTCAAAAATTAGTGTTTATGAAGTTCTTTAGTAATTTTTTTTAACAGTGAATGCCATCAAATAGTTTTTCTTCATCCCCATAAATTCTTATGTACTATGTTTTAACAAAAAGGGCTATAGTCAATGTGATTTCCAATAACATGGTCTTCTAGTTTTCAAACCTTAAGCATTGATTTAATGGTGCCAAAACAGAGCACTACTTCAAATTTCCGCATCTTATCTCTTTTCTGTAATTTTTATTTAGAGGAAATCCTATTCCAGGTTCATCTTAGTTCAGTCTTTCAACATTCACTCAGTTATGGCAGTTTTGAGGATTGTATCCAGAAATAAGTCTCCAAATAGAGTAGTGTTATGAGAAGCAACCCATTCCAGGCACATCCAAACCCTTATATTGCTTTAAGTTATGATAAGAGGAAGCTGTATACCGAATTCGATGGTCCTACCTCTTATTGTTTAGGAGACATTCTTGGACAAACTCTAAAATTAATTTTTTTTATATATATATATATATATAACACACACACACACACACCCCCACCCACCCCTTTTAAGAGAGCCATTGTCACAAAGCTAAAAGCCATTATGAGACAAATCTGCTGGGAGGAACAATTTAAAGCCAGAAAGATATGAATGATAGTTGGGAATTTAACAACACTTTACTAGATACTCAGAAAGCCACAATCCCACATCTGAGGAAGGTTGTGATTGTGTGTGTGTGTATGCATGCAGCATGCACATCGATGTAAAAACAGCTATAAGAATATAGCTAAGCAACGCGCATGCAGCATGCACATCGATGTAAAAACAGCTATAAGAATATAGCTAAGCAATGGAGAAAAGACAGGGAAGTCATGTTATATTCATTATTACTCAGAAGCTAAGAACTTTGATAATTAGAGAAAGCAAAGGGACACAGAGAAATCTATGGCCAATAGAGTTAAGGACAATAGGGAGGGTGGTTTTACTAGCTTATTAAGAACAGAAAAAAATAAAACCAACCACCAACAATGGTACTGTTCCATTACTAGATCGAAATAGTACAATTGTCAAGAAGAACAAAGTAAAAAACAAAACAACCAGATACATCTGTTCTGTATTGCGGGGAGGAACCAATGAAGTTTATCATAGGACAACATTCCATTAGTATCTTGGTAAATGGCAAAACAGGAGCATTTGAAGTTAGACATTTAAAGTCAGCAGGTTCGGAGAGCTTTTAAAAATCTCAACTGCAAGTAAATGAGGTGCTCACTGAACCATTAATCTTCATTTTCAATAAGTCTTAGAGCAATGGAGCAGTCCCAGAAGAAAGCTAAAAAGGAGTAAGTGGGATGACTTGAATAATTATAGGTCTGTCATTCTGACACTAAGTTCAGGCAAGTTAAGGAAGTGACTGATGAGAGACAGTGGATTTCCATCTAGTAGGCAGAGGGCCAGCATGGGTTCAACAGGACAGGAAAGTCTTGCAACTCTGGGCCCACAGTTTGTACTCTGGGACTCCTTCACAAGAAACATTTCCCTCAGTAACCTTTACAAGCAGAGGTGACAACCCGTTCCCAGAACCGAAGACTGGCTTGCTTTCTCAGTAGCGAAAACCAGAGCTAGCTTACACGTCTTCCTTTGGAACGTCAGAAAACCCAACGGGTCCCTCTCCAGACGCCAAAGCCACAGATATTTCTTCCCCATAACAGCTCCTACAGAGCAGTCATGCACTATCTATGCAAAAACCTGTAGCAGACTGAAAACTTAAGATCTGAGAGAGCATAAAATGATTGGAAATGAACAGCAAGATCAGTGCATTCTCCTTGCAAAGTTACTACTGACGAGATTGGATCAGTAATGGTATGCTGTTCCAGTGCACAGACTTAGATCTGACTCACCACACCCACCCTAGGGCCTCATGTGAGAATTACAGGGGGACTGTCCAATCACTCCGTTTAAAGTTCTTTCTCCCCCAGGCTCACTAGCCTTAGTTCATCTAGTTTCAGATGCAGGAGAATTCCACAGCTAAGTCACTAAGATGACTGGCTAAGAGTGGGTAGGACACACTTAATTCACTTGATGAACCAAGATATTGTTCCCACTTTTCACAAACTCTGCAGACCCAGTGGAAGACCCTGCCAAGAGCTGGATACCTATATCAGAAGAACAGGGAAGAGTTTACTTGCCTGTGACGTTGTCATTTTGTGAGAGTTTCCTGGTTAAAGTCTTGAGGATGCCGGTTCTCTGCATCAGGCGCAGCTTTATAACCCACTTGGTCCTCACCTCGGCATCCCAGGATGAAGTCACCCAGGCCCTGGAGGTTAACAGTCTCAGAGCTAGTCTGTACCAGTTTTCAGACAGATGGCTGGCCCTGGCTCTCAGCCCAAGCAGGAGAGCAGAGTTACCTTTGCAGCTCTCAGCAATAGAGGCCAAAGACTGGCGCTCTCATCTCCTAGATAACAATGCAGGCCAGTAGTACCAAACCAGCTCCTCCTCCGAGGCACTGCAATCTCTACAATGGTTGATCATTTAAACTACCGACAGGACATAAGGCTGTCTGGATATGGAAACTTGAGAACCCGGACATTTGCCAAAGTATTTTGCTATCAGACCCATAAAGTGAGTCCGTTCTTTTAATCCATACCCTGCATGGTTTTCATAAAAACT